ACGAATGCAATCCTATCAGCGCTTGTCGACTAAGGAGTGGACCCGTCCTACATAAGGACTCTGTCCGACTGTTATCGGAACTGCACTACGAAAATACAGCTTTACCATCGACCTCTTACAATACCTATAGGAAAAGGGGCTCGACAAGACGACACAATGTCGCCAAAGCTGTTCAGTGTCGCACTGCAGTGGATAATGAAGTCACTCGATTAGGATGAGAAAGGCATACGTATTGATGGAAAATTCCTGTCAAACCTTCGCTTTGCCGACGACATTGTCATCTTCTCAACAAGTACTAGCGACGCAGAAGTGATGATCAACGAGCTAAACGAAGTGGGGAAAAAAGTCGGACTTCGCATAAATCGAAAGAAGACCCAGTTCATGAAAAACCCATGATGCGAAGGCGAAAAATTGAAAATTGAATTGGATGGCTCTCTCATTGCAGAGACTACGTCGTACCTTTACCTTGGGTGATCAATGAACATGGAAAACAACATGAAAGAGGAACTGGAGAGAAGAAGGAGAGCAGCTAGGGCCGCATTCGGGCCTCTCAAAGAAGCCACCGACCAACTGAAGGATCCGAAAACCCGCGCTCATCTCTTTGATTCTACGGTCCTCCTATCGCTCTGTTATGCTGCAGAGACGTAGGTTGATAGTTCAACTACGTCAAGAATGCTTCGAACTATTCACAGAGCGCTTGAGCGATAACTTCTGAAATATAACCGGCACACTCAATATGTAGCCGGAATGCGAAGCCCTGACCTTCGAAATTTGTCATTTTCGAGATCCAGGAGAATATACATCGACAGCGAAACATCGACGACAAATGGACGAAACGAACAGTAGAGTGGACTCCAACAGAATGCAAACGTCCCCTTGGACGACCACCTACACGTTGGGCGGACGTGTACGTAAACAAAGCTAATCAGCTGTACCCGTAGCTGCAGTTGTTTTACAGATCACGGTATGGGACAGGCAAGCGCTACCATGCTCGAACAAGACAACCATCATGGACTACGATTGCAAGAGAAAGGAACGAATGGCACATGTGCTGGGGTCCGAACAGCTCGTGAAGACGGACCGTCCAAGTATCCTAGTAAGTAATAAGCTAGGTGCAGGAGTAACAATGCAAATACGTAATCTAATGAAAGACGTATTTAAGTGAAAGATAGAGAACATTTCACGAGAAATGATATAATCTGCCTCTATAATCTTATGCCTGTTAGCCGACAAGTAACGTGATGAGTCCCTAGGTGCCGAAAAGGGTTAAGCGCGGAATAAAAGCGACAATTGCTTCCCTTAGACGCAGATGGATCCAGGGGATGGACCACCTGCTTTTGCTGTGCCGATTTAGCATATACCTTCTGTATTTACGAGGATGTATTCATGCATGTGGACATTGGCGTTCGATTCATTCGAACAACCAACGACCAGAATGAGACCTCTGCGGTTGGAACGATATGAATCAAAATCGGATTTGACCATCTTCATCGTTTAAAACACCGACATGAAGCATTGAAGAGGCAAAGTCGAAGCGACTCTATATGGACCTACAGGGATTCCGAAACAAGGATCATACATTCCTTAAGCTCATCACTGGAGATTTTCATGTTAATATTGGACCTAGAAGAATCTCTGAAGAAGGGTACATTGGTAACCGAGTCACAACTGAACAAGCAGGGTGAGCACCTGTCTGAGTTTATCATGACGAGTAAGACCATTCATGGTAACTCGTAATTCCAGAAGCCTCGCTCTCAACGCTGGACGTGGGAGCCTCGCAGTGGAGAGTACCGTAGCGAAATAGGCCACATCATATGCAGAAAGGCGACAAAACAAGATCTTAAAGAGAGAAGAGCAGCAGCAATTGTCGAAGCTGTAGAGGCTGGGAAAAGCATTCGCAAACTCCGCCGAAGTTTCGTCAATTACAAGACCAAAATGATTGCTCTCCGAAGCCCGGACGGAGCAGTTACAGCGTCCAGAAAGGCAATGGAGAAAATCACTTGCGAATACTACTCGTATCTCCTCGATAGCCACGTTTACCTCCCGTCATATGAAATAAAGGAGGATGGATATGTTGTACCACCGGTTCTCCCTTCTGAAATCCGACATGCCTTTCGTCGGTGAAAAATCGAACAGCACCAGGCACGGATAGGATAAGATCAGAACACCTGAAGAGCCTTCTGCCAGTCCTCGCAAACTCACTGGCTCGGCTCTTCACACGTTTCCTGTCTGAATGCAAAGTCTCTAATCAGTGAAAGACCAGCAAGACCGTGTTATTGTTCAAGAAGGGTGACTTCAACATTATGGGCAACTATCTCCCAATCTGCTTTCTTTCTGTCGTCTACAAACTTTTCTTTCGAGTTATCCTGAACAGAGTTGGCAGAACGCTGGAAGAAGAGTAGCCTAGTAGACACATGAGCAGGCAGGGTTCCAAAAAAAAATTTCATTATAGTAATATTAACATCGACGTCAAAAGAGGGATTAGGTAAGGCGATAGCATCTCGCCTAAATTCTTCACCGCCACTTTCGAGAACGTCATGCCAACACTGGAATGGGGCAACATGGAGTGATTTTGCTTTGCTGATGAGATCGTTTTGTAACCCAAGTATTAACCGGGTGGAACGAATAGTTGCTGCCTTTGATAAGACCTGTGGAAAGATCAGTACTCGAGTAGATCTTATAAAAACGATGTTCATGAGGAAGGATTGGTTTCGCATGCCCCATTCACGCTCAACAGAACGAATATCTCCGAATGCTCCAGTTATGTCTACCTAGGTCGGAAAATCAGTTTGATGAACGACTTAGCTCCAGAGTCGAGCAAAAGGGAACTAGCGGGTTGGGGAGCTTTCAAGAGTATTGAGGATATACTGAACAGAACAAGGAACATCTGACTCCGTGTCCACTTCTTCTACTCAACGATCCTTCCTGCGTGAGTCAGAAACTTTTTCGCTGCTTAAGTAGGATGAACGAATCGACGATCATTTAGCGTTGTTGAACGCGCAGTCGAAAGTACAATCTTGGGAGTATCCCGTGCCACACAAACGAGGGAGTGGATCCCGAAGCCTTGACTTACGCCAACGATTAAAGATTAAAGATGTTGTTTTATACCCTATACGTTCGAAGAGAAAGTGCCCCGAACACGTAATGCGCATGAACGACAACCGATGCACAGCAGCCGTTAGTGACTGGATTCATCAGTATTTCAAACATTTCAGAGGAAGAGCACTAAGCCGATGGTCAGACTTCTTCACGAAATCCTAGGAAAAGGATGCGATGCTCAACGAGTCAGTGCGAGCAGGACTCACTGGCTACTCTTGCACGCGACATGGTAGAAATAGAAGATTTACTGGCACCCGCTCCAGTCAGTCGATGATCCATGGGTCTACAGGTGTTACAGTATGCAGCATACATAGCAGATACAGGTAGAATCTAGCTCTCTATCCAGGAACTTAGTGAAACAAATCCGTCTTTTCCCACACAAACATCAGGAGTTTGTCGATGAAGCGACTAAATTCTTATCTTCAACTTTTCCGCAGTTTTAACACATTCACGACGCGTAATTTCTCGTGACGTGCCCTAGGGGCGGCCTCTAACTTTTTGCCCAACTAGCAATGAATCCGGTGGAGCTCACACCGACCGCAATATCCCGCAATTTGGAAGTTACGTCTGATTTCCGTTATTAGATTTTCCTCCGCGTTTTGGAAGAATTTCTGCGCTTCTCTTATCCTTTGTGTGCACTATGTACGTTATACACCATCTTATGTTTTTGGGCACATACAATTTTTGTGCATAAAGAGACACTCGTCCTGTATGCAATCATATTGATGTCAGCTTCTAGTGAACTTGTGTATAAGTTCTGCGGGGCATGCCACGATGTTTATCTTTTAGCTTTGATATTCCCTCATTCCAGACAGCAATCAAAAATTATCGTAGCGACTGAAAACTAGGAAACAACGAATTGCTCGGCAAAAATGATGCTGCACACTGTATACCATGCCAGTTCCTCGAAGCAGAGGCATTCTGGGCCCCTTCACCGGAGACACTCTCGAGGCCACAAACTCTCCCGGACTGCGATAGTTCCCACCGCAAAAACGAGAAATTTTGTGAGAAATTATTAATGATATACCCTTGCAGGGATGAGATGTGATGTTATATCTATGTTGGATAAGCCACCAAAAGATTACAATAGGTTAAGAAAAGAACATTGCGCCTAAATAAACCCTTGAAAAATAATGACTTTTAGAGGTCATACCGGTCACCGTGCGAATGTGTTAAATAGTGTGTTGCGTATGCAGAAAATATTTTTATCCAAATAACTCCAGTACTAACGGAAAGTAGGTGATTTTCGTCATGACCTAAACAACGGGATAAAATTATGGAGCGGTCACAACTTTTTCTTTTATTGCAACTTAAAAGAGTTTACATCCTCCCCTTTGGTGACAATCCCAGAAAACGCTACATAATCAATGTTTATTCACCCATGTAAGATAAAACACAGGTGGGGTGTTTAAAAAGGACAAGCACAACACGACAACGTAACATAACCCAGATTAGATCCGTAGAGACCTAAAGTTACCAATGAACACGCTTTCATGAATGGCATATAAAACTAGAGAATTTAAAAGTGGATAATATAGAAATAACCTCAATTAACCGCATTAGACAACAAGTATAACTAAAGATATTACACATAAACACAATTCCTAGGGTTGCGGATGATAATTTTAATGTCAATCAATTAGAACTCTCTGAAAGAAATACGTAATTGAATTTACAACAGTGGAACCTTTACAAGTTAAAATGGCGTCTATGCACAGCTGGAACACAGAACGACACTAACAGTTTAATAATTAAAACAAACATTTCTAAAATAAGCACCTAGTGCGATGGTAGCAAACGTTACACGTTAGAAACATCTACTTGGTGACGCTAATTTAAGAATTAAACATGAATAATATGCACAAAGAATTATGGAAAAACTTAGAAGGGTAGCTATAACGCTACTGATCTTCATTGATTAGATTCTCACTTTCTGTTTCAATCAAGTCAGCCCCGCAAATCGTGAAGCAACATCTGAAAATGGAATTCGAGAGTACCTTGAACTACGTTGAAAATAAGTCCGGAACCAAATATCCGTGAAACTCGGCACTAATCAACAAGCTGCTGTGACCAAACTGAGAACAGGTATTTAACCCAGCAGTTTTTTTAAAAGATAGGTTATTACTCGGTAGTCTTTGTCATCTACAGAATTGTTTTCATCAGCCGCATTTTAGGACGTTAATATCAACAAGAACACGTTTGCTTACTGGAAACTAAATTTTCACCCAATTAGTTGACTGTTGATAAATAGTAACTTGATTTCTACCATCGCCGTGTTTCACCAAATAAAGGTCAACTAGTAGAAATAATCGGACTGACCGGGTGCAAAAATGTGATTCGCCCATATTTGGAAGAATACGCTGGCGGAACCACGGACCAATGATGATGTCGTTGTATACGAACATCCCGAGGATAAGAAATCCAAAACCAACAAGCTAAAACGTAACAATTTAACTGATACAAACTAAAATAGTACACTATATTAGTTCACAAGCAAACAGTGGTAAAAGCATCCTGTCCACTTAGTGTCCAATCGTGTTAAGCCCGCGGTGGATGTGAAGGTAGACTGTGTAAAATTTTTAAAAAATTTCACAACAATATTGATGTACAACGAATTTACTAGGCATCTAAATGTTATTCGCTTTTTCGGTGGAATATTCATTTGATGTTGATAATCGGCTCGTTACTTCGTCTTTGAGCAGTCCCTAAGATGCCGCATCGTTGCAAGAATCTTTGTCGCAATTCAAGGCATAATACAACAAAAGACCTATCCGAACCACCAAGCTGCTGAGTTCCTGTGGTGAAGAATTAGGAACATTTGGAGATGTCAGGCACAGCTATTTTGACATCTTATGGAAAAATGTTCTAATAAAACGAACATCCGATAAGACAGTTCACTAAGTGTTATACCTAAGGAGAAAAATACAGTAATAAAACATTCGTAGATTCGACCTATATATCGCCTTGAAAAACTAGACTGATCTCCATAATCGCTGCAGTTTTAGAAGAATCCTAAACAAAGGACCAGACCTCTCTTCGATGCACAAGAGGCGGAGGTCTCCGTACTGAACATCCTGGATGTCCAAGCACAACTACACCATACTTCCAGAAAAAAAAAATCATGTTCACCCAGCAGCGGATAAATAAGTCAGAAAAGAAAACGATGCATACTCAATTCATAGCCAAAATCACGCATTGAGCTAGGCACAATCATAAACGACAGTCAGAAACAGGAGAACAAAGTGAATGTGAGCATCCCTGTACGTTACCTGTGGCTGGGTTGTGCAGGTGAATACGCAACAGGCACGACCTTTTGGCAAAAATCAATTGCCGAATAAGTTCAGTACCACAGTTAACTAAGAAGATATTGCATACGTCCCACTAAGCACGAAAGAGAAAATTTCCTCACGATTTTGGACTTTTACGACGTTCATAGTAAAAGGAATCGCGAACGCCAGAACCACCTCCTTTGAAATACCAAGCAAATTCGTGGCGAATTTAAGACACTATAACCTCTACAAGATTCATAAGATCACGGTTGAGATTAAAATCCATCTAGATGGTTTAAAATGGAAATAGCGGCTCCGTTCAAGTTCAAGCTGATACCTCTCAGTTAGCACGAGATTTCATTACTTACTTGGATACTTGGACTGCCCGCCTTCACTGGTTGTGCTGGCTCCAACATTATTTCCATTCACCTTATAATTTGCTGGTTTAACCATTGTGTTCCTTAGAGTTCTGAGGTCAGCCTAGCCAAAGTTTGCTCCAGGTTGTCACCACCACAGGCAGTTGCTGCCGTTGTAGATGACAGGGATTTGCCACTATGACTAGTTTGATACCAGAACGGTTGTGGATACTGGTATTGGTTTACTCTTAGCTAGGCTTCCTGATAGAAACACCGGACTCCCTCTCAGCTCGGGAGATCCTGCCGCGGGGATGAATCCCCGCTGCACATCGCAGCCTAACGCCCAGTAACTCCTCCCAGCCACGTTGAGGCGGTAAACAGTTTAGAGATCAGAGTTCGTTGGTTACAATAAAAACCAAATCAATAAATAAACTAATTAGAATTGCTAAATGCTACATTTTCCTACCTAAGGAATGCAAATTTTTCTAGTGCACCACAAATTCTGATTTTCTCAAGCCAAGTTCAACATAGTTGGCTGAAATAACTTAAGCACTCGCGTCTAAACATATTTCAGCTCACAATTAACATTTTGGTTGAAATAAAAAGTTGCAATATGTGTGTCCTTGCAACGAGACTCAATTTCTTTAAATCCACCACAATAACAATAAAATCCTAACCACCTTGAAAGAGCAAACCTCTTCACATGTCTGCTACCAAAAGCAAAAACATCTCCAGTTGGGAAGAGATACTATAAGTGGGATTTCGCCAAACAGGGTGCGGTGACGCCACAAATGCATACTTGACGTTTGCGGTCTCATAAGTGCGTTTGGACTAAGAGTTTCAACACTTTTCTTCACGAAAATTTGAGTTTTGGACAAACTAGAAGTAAACAATCTCAAATATTCCGATGTAAGTTTGTCAATTTGTCAAAAACTTTAATTGTTGAAAAGTAGTACCATGCATTCAAAAAAAAATATCGCAAATGCGTTAAACAAACGGAAGTGTTATAACTAGTGGCAGTTAATAACTCTTCCAAAAATAGAATACCTTAATTAAACAAGAGCCTGAAAATACCACCTAATCTAGAACTTTCTAAAAAACAATTTCATGTTTCAATCCCTTACTTGCAGGACTTGAGAATTGCTAAAAGTCCTGGAAAACTTAATATTCCCAGCGCAAACGCACAACTACAAACATTGATGATACATTAAGAGAAAACGACGTTTAAAACGTGAAACGATGTGTAACCTAAGGACTTTTGTACTTAGACCCCTTGTGACCACTGCTATTGTACCGTTTCCAGAGAACAGCTATTTTGACTTGTTTTATCCATAATTTATTAATATAATTTCAAGAAACAACCTGCAGAGGAATGAAGAGTTCTCCAAAGAGTGGTATGCTAAGTATCCAAACCACAAGAGTTCTAACACTATCGAGAACCATTCGAGTAGTAGCAGAAAGTTCCTTGGTGACAGAAACGCCAGCAAAATTGAAGAAAGCTATGCTGGAAATTCGTAATCTATCATTATTAGACGAAAATTCTAACTAAGCACGCGACTATTTCACTAAATGATGTTACCTAACAATGATTCCTGATAGTGCAACAGCAACCCACGGTTGCTCACAAATTTCTTTCCATGCGAAGAAAATGTCCTAAAATAGGAATGAAATATCAAAAATAAATCTGCATCTGACCGCATAAACAACTAAACTCGAGACGGCCTTCAGGGTTTGTAGAAAACGTGCGCGGAACGTGAATGTAATACATGGGAACCAACAGAATGGATAGGATTATCGTCCCGAAAAGACCTGCAATATAATCGGTTGATTGGGCATTTAGAACGCTTTAAGTAATTTTTAATACTGAAAATAACACTCATGAAAAAGATTAAATCCAATTGCCACAAAAGATACCTCTGTTGTCCTCTGACTAGGAAATGAAATGGATAGTTTCTTGGATAGTTGGATGGCCCGTCTTCACTGATTCTGCGGGACCCAGCATAATTCCCATTATCTTGGAGTTTTGTTGGTTTAGCCACTGTGGTTTCCTGGAGTCTGGAGGTTAGCGTCGCCAAAGTCTGCTCGAGTCATCACCACCACAGGCATCTGCCATCCTTACGGATCAGAGGGAGATTTGCCACGAGGCGACCAGTTTGATACCACGGCGGTGGCGGATCCTTGTATTCGTTTACTCGGCATCCGGAGAGAAACGTCGGATTTCCGAGTTTGGAAGGCGCTAGTGGAGGTATGAATCCCCCGCTGTAAATCGCAGTCCAGCACCCAAGAAAATCCCCCAGCTACGATGAGGCAGTAAAACGTTAGGAAAGGAAAACAGAATGACAACAACTATCTTTGTACTAAAAAAAAGTATAAACAAAACTGAAAAGGCAAGAATATGTGGAGGGTTGGGCCACAGAAGGATCAGGTCATGTTTGCGGATGAAAAAATTACGTCAGCCAAACCTTCAAGACCAACAGCGAATAAGGCAGGCACGTCGTACTGGTTTAGATATTTCTGTTCATAAACCATCTGTATGGCAACGATAATTTGTGCCATAATTATAAGAAGATTTCCTAAAAATTTTTTTAAACAAACAACATATAACCACAAAGTTGCTGAGATATCTGCAAAACTCTGGACCGCAGGTGTCTATGGTGGGAACGAACGCGCTATTGTCCTTTCCGGGGAGTAACGCGTTCACCACCACACCATGCGGGTCCTCCGTTTCGCTTGATTGCTGCGGCAAAGATCGATAGAAATAGCTGAGAGACAAGCGAAACGAAGGACCCGCATGGTGTGGTGGTGAACGCGTTACTCCCCGGAAAGGACAATAGCGCGTTCGTTCCCACCATAGACACCTGCGGTCCAGAGTTTTGCAGATATCTCAGCAACGTTGTGGTTGTATTTCGCTTAG